ATGGTAATTCTGAGAGTGAAAGTGTGACTGTAAACAAGTCAGATGTATTCTGCAAAGCCCTGCACAGGAAACCAACTTGCTTACGCTTATTTCACTCTTTGTAAGGAGGATAACCTCCTCTAAGTGTGAGTGTGCAGTAACTCAAAGTGATATAGCGACTTCTTTTTATCCTGATTATTTGACATGAGAAGTGAAAAGACTGGAAATGGAAAGCATCATTTATAAATCATCTTTAGAGAGCTGTAGTAGTGACACTGAGCTAGAACCCTGTGGGGCTTCTGGGCTAGGAAGTCTTTCTGTCCCCCATTTCTTTACTCCAGCCTTCATGAACTTCCCTGAGTTCCAAAGGGCAGATTCAAACAGTCAATAATCTGGGAAGCAATGCAAAGACAAGGGAGGGGCAGCCAAGAAACAGTGGTGCAGGCTTGGGGCAGGGTCCTCATTCTGCCTCAAGGGATATACATAACAATGTCTTTAAGCTATTTATAGAATTAAAACCCAACAAATGGAAGATGTCAGCATTCTTCATACCAGAGAAGACCACCTGAAGCCAGGAACCAGAGAAGCTCAACAAAAAGATTACCTGAGACCAGATCAGAGGAGTGCAGGCCCTGCATACACCCTAATCTTCATCAGCAACCCCACCCTTGAACAGTTGCTATAAAACTCCTCATCAAATCTTACTGAATCGGGACACACAGTTTTCGAGGGCAGGAGCCCACTGTGTCCCCCTTTGCCTGGCAAAGCAATACAGCTATTCTTTTCTACTTCACCTAAAACCGTCTCTGAGATTTGATTTGGCACCAGTGCACAGAGGCCAAGCTACCAGAATCAGTAAGATAATCTAACACCTGAACAACACACTGCCTTCAATGTCTGAAACCTCACTCATCAACCAGCACTGAATCTGCTAGTCTGACTGGTTCATGACTTCTCTCTCCTGAAAGGTTAGGGGAAGCCAGCCTCACTTCTGCCAATAAATAGCACCATCAGTCCCTTCTCTACAGCTAGTAATGCTATTAAACCTACCAAGTATTAAAGGGGAAATGGAATAGCCCACTCTAATATTGTACAACCCCAACCCAAGACATTTAACTGTGATCATGCCAATAAACATAGGACATTTATCATATTTGGAAATTTGGTTGCTTTGGTTCCTTTTAAATTTTCAAAAGAATTATTTAACCCATTTCCCCCCAAAATTGTACTATACTAGCTTAGAAGTAGAAACAGGTGTCCTTTGTGCCATCCCTCTCACTCTCTCTGAAACTCTTTTAGTCCTTTCTTCTGCTATGTAACTCCATACCTCTGGCTTCCCATTATAGACAAAGAGCATTTCACACTTTTACCATCTCAATTGCTCACTTAGTTCCTTCTGTCCTCTCAATGTAGTTACCCAACAATTGATAGTTAAATGGATATTCAGGTTTTATCTTTTTATCCCTGGGAAGTAATGTTTACTGATAAGCCAAATAGTGTACCGTGATTATGTTTCACTTATTGAATAACCTTTTGTTTTTTCTGGAGTTATAAATTGCCTCCTTTTTATTTGCTTAATTTTATGTGGCATTATCACTAATTATTCCAGAACTCTCCAAAGTAATTTTCAAAAGCTCTTTGTAATATATTTTCTGCCTGGGTAAAGCATATCAATTATTTTATCAGTTCCCTCACACTTGATTGACGATTTAGCTGGGTTTAGAATTCCAGGCTGCAAATCATTTTCACATAGAATTTAGAATGCATTGCTCCATTGTCTCCTAGGCATCAATGTGCTTTTTAGAGGATAAAATCAATATTTCATGAGGCCCTATCAGAAATGTCAAGATATGTCTTTTGTATGGGTCTGTTTCCTTCATTGTTCTAGGTACTTATGGGCCTTTTAAATGAAAAAAATATATGTTCTTCAATTTGAGGAAACTTTTGTGCTATTTCTTTGATGACCTCATTTCCTTTGTTTTTCTTCTCTCTCTGTTTTTCTTTCTCAAACTCCTAGTAGTTACAGCTTAGTCACAGAATTGTTTTTCCAATTTTCTTAACTTCTGTTGTCCATCTTTTCGCCTTTTTGTTGGTAGGTTTCTAAAACTTTATTTTTCAGCTCTTCCATTAAATTTTTAATTTTATCATTGTCTTAAATTTTAATAACTCTTTTTTGCTCTTACTTGTTAATTTTGTATGTTATCATCTTGTTTAATGAATGTAATAAGTTTTTGCCTCTTGAGAATATCATATTTTTTCCTGAAACTTCTATTTGTTTCTTAAATTGTCCATTGCTTTATTATTTTCTTTTGTTTTACACTTTATTTTGGGAGAGTTTCCTTAAAGGTTTGTGGAGCCTTGGCAGTTCATTCATTTTAAAGAGGGAGGCACTAAAATGCTGACTAGAAGCTCTGCATGTCCTAAGTGGGCTTGTGGATTCTTGGGATTCACTGTAGGTTAACTGGGAAATAAAGAACTTTGCCTTTTTCACTGGCAACAGTGTAATCCCAGTATCTGTAGGTCTTTTCTGTGAGTGGTGATTCCATTTTTCTAGAGAAGGATTCTTCAATCTCCTGCCATGGCATTTTAAGACTAACTGGCAGACTTCTTGTCCTAAAATGCTACTAGGGAAGCCAGGGCTTTGGTATTCATTTGATAGACTTTTATTTAATCTCTCACATTCCACTGTATCTGGTATCTCCAAGGCTGAACCCCTCTTGTTGAATTTTTTCATAGAATACATTTCCAATGTTCTGATGAGAATGGAATGGAATCGGTCTCTTAGCTACGCGGGGTGAGAGGAGGGCTGCGGAAGCCTCCACTTCATATGCAGATTTTCCAACAATCTTCACTTATTTTTAAGCACACTTGGTTCCTCAAGTCCCAAGTCTTTCCAGATTTCCACAAAGGGAGTTGCTTGCCTCTCCTGATACCCTCCTCTGTGGGCATTTTGTAATTAGCATTCTCAACCTTGCTAATTCCAGTTCTCTACTTTCCACTTCTAAAATACTCCTCTCTTATGTCCAGTTGTCTCCTTCCTCATCTCTCTATTCTTGGGGATTTATACCCTTCTATTCTCTTAGCATCATTTTAAGAGAGGATTTTCAAAGTTTGCAGCATAAGACGGTTGTATAGTTTCCTCCTGCTGCCATAGCATACGCCACAGACTGGGTGGTTTACACAACAGAGATTTATTTTCTCACAGTTCTGGAGGCTAGAAGTCCAAGATCAAAGTGTCAGCAGGTTTAGTTTCTTCTGAGGCCTCTCTCCTTGACTTACAGATGGCTGCCTTCTTGCTGTGTGTTCACCTGGTCTTCCCTCTGTGTGTCCATATGTCTGGTGTTTCTCTTTGTGTTTTCAAATTTTCTCTTCTTATAAGGACACAAGTCATATTGGATTAGGGCTCACTCTAAACTTTTAGCTTAATCGCCTTTAATGTAATCATTTAACTTAATCATCTTTAAAGATCTTACCTCCAAATACAGTTACTTTTTGAGGTGCTGGGGATTAGGACTTCAACATATGAAATGTGAGGGGACAAAATTCAGCCCATAACAAAGGTATGTTTAAAAACTTTTTAAAAAATTCTTAATACTACTCCAAGCATCTTGAAAATATCCTGTATCCTAAACAGAAACAGACTCACAGACATAGAAAACAAACTTATGGGTATCAAAGGGGAAAGGGGAGAGGGATTAATTAAGAGTATGGGATTAACAGATACACACTACCATATATAAAATAAACAACAAGGATTTGCTGTATAACACAGGGAACTATATTCAATATCTTGCTATAACCTACAATGGAAAAGAATAGAAAAAAGAATATATATATTCATTAATTCATTCACGCACTTATTAAATAACAATTAATGGGCATCTATTTTCGTAAGGTTTCTGGTTCAGCAGCACAAGGGATACAAGGGTAAGTCAGACCCAATTTATGAATTTAAAATTTAAAATATTTATTAACACCTTAATGGTGATTCTTCTGAAAAAACTTGACAGAATGTTTCCAGGTGGATACTAACATATCTCATCTTTTACATAAAATGTCATGTTTCACACTTTTAAAAAAAAGTCACTTTTGTTACTCAGAAGTCACACACTTAGAAAGGTTGTCTTATCTTACTTTTCCTTACACCATTTCATTTCAGGGAATATATCAACTCAACTTTCAATTGAAGAGGAAAGTTAAGAATTGAGCAGCATTAAAAGGACTCCCCCCCACCCCCATAGTTACACACCCACATCTACCCTCTCAGGGCAGGCTGAGGAGGACTGGGGCGGGGGAAGAACCATTCACAGAGAAGAGCTAAGAAGAGCTTGTGACAAAGTAGCATATGACAAAGCTCCAGTAAGTCTGGCCCATGGCTTTTCACACTTGGCAAACACATGGAATTGAAGAGCATGGCTACAACTCTTGCTTCTAAGGGGTATTGATCCATGGAAAAATATTAATGATTAACCTGAACTTAAGCAATGAGAGGTTGTTACTTTGCACTGCTGATCTCTGCCTTAACCATCTATACAACGTGCCTGCAGAATGATTATAAGGCAATACATAAATGATCATTTCACTTACTAGTAAGCTATCCCAGTCCTTTACTAAAATATGAGGACCAATTTTGGTTTAACCTGGGATCTCTTGATGAGAAATCATCACCTGTTATCTCTAGAATATTCTGTGCATATATCTCCCTCCCCCTCCATTGGCTATAGGGGATTTTCTATGTGTGTAAGATTAACCTTAAGATGATAATTTATACAGGGTCTTCTTTATTCTGTATCTTTCCTAGAAAATTTTCTATTTTGGCATGACTGGTGCTGCATCTTGGTCCAGATGTGAAATTAAGCCAACCTTAAACTTTGCTGATACTAGAGAGCATTTGGATAAAAATAAACTAAATTTTAGGATTTTCCAATCACAAAACCATTGTCTGCAGCAAAGCCTTGTTATCTATTATGTGTATATATATTCATTGTATTTACCTATAGGCCATTTTTACTCTTTTTCAGGAAAAAAGGAACTCAAGCATCATTTGTCATTTCTGACAGCAATGCTGAGTGGCCTAACGAAAACTGCCATGGTTGTCTTGTTGAAGGGGTCCTTCATTTGCCTCCCACGCTATGCGGTATCCTTCCTACAGCTATCCACCTCCCTCCACAACCCCTGAACCTGGCTGCCAAGTGCACGCAGATCAAAATAGACACGGGGTGAGCATATATGTTGATCTAGGCAGAGGACCTCGCAGATGTGAAATGTGGAAAAGAATAGAATAAAATAGATTTGGGGAAGATATGTCAGCATTGTTTGAATTTCCTGCTTCTATCACCATGATCTGGATTGATTTGGGAGGAACTCAAACTCTCCAAGTCTCAGTTCTTCATGAATAAAATAGGGACATTATCAACTTCCTCGTAAAATGGTGCTTTCTTGGGAAGATTAAAGTCAATATACATGAAAGTCAATATACATCCTTCTCTCTTTTATTGTCTATAAATATATACACATATATCTGTTTGTGTATGTGTGCCCACAATTCAACTAAGTGCTAGTTTAGCCCAGAAACTTGTAGTCTAGTTGGGGATAAAGCGTGTATTGTAGAGTGATCCAAACGACAGTGAAATCTCACGGTAAAAGAGCTGCATGGTTAGATGCCCTAATCATGATTAGATTGTAAAAGCTGCATGATTAGATGCCCTATGATCGAACTGAAAATAAGAGAACTCACGTATTCCGTCTGAACCCTCACTGCATGCCAGTATTTACATTCGTCATAATATTCAAGACAGCCCTGAAACTTAGGCTTTGCTATTCTAATTACATAGAGGAAGAATGCGAGGCTCAGAGAAGGTAGGCAGCTTGGTCAGGAAAACAAATAGATCCACTCGGACCCCAAGCCTGGTCTCTTTCCTTGAGGTCATGCAATCCTGACTCTGAAACATGGTGGAGTGCATGGTGCTTTGTGCATGTTACCATGTCAGAAGGATGAGCTGAATCTTGAAAAAAGGGTAGAATTTGGGCAGGTCAAGAGGAGAGAGGGATACTTCAGGAGAGGGGATGATGAACCGAGACGTGGAGATGGAAACAGAGAAGGCAGATCTGTGAGACAGCTACAAACCAATTTCTTTAGAGATAAATGATGTGGCTGAGAAGCCAGAGATAAGACCAGAATAGTAGATTGCGGCTAATTTTAGAGGCCTTGAAGGCCAGACACAGGAGTGTCATTCGATAGCTCATAAAACAAATGAGTTTATTGAGGAACCACTGTGCTGCACTGTGGAAGTATCAAGACGTAAAAGAAATAAACAAACAAAGAAAGAACCCAAAAAACAAACCTGGCAACAAAATAGGCTTTGTCTTTCTAGGGCTACAGGTCCACTTGCCCCAGTACATGGAATAATGCTCTGGGGCTGTGGCAGAAGTCTGAGTGACAGTCAGTGACACAGCAAGGGGGTCATCATTTGGGTCCCCTATCATGGGCATAGGAATTGTTGAGAAAGGCTTCATAGAGAAGATGAATTTATTCTGGAAGTGATGGGCAATGAAGAAAGGATTCGAACAGTGGAATTATATGATGAAAATATCATTTTCAGAAGATTAATTCAGTAGCATCCAATAGGCACAATACGATGGTTAGAGACTGGAAACTGAGACTCCAATTCATTAAATAGAAGATCAGTTCAGCTCTCCAGCAAGAGGAAAGGTAGTGGCAGTGGAAATGAAAAGGCAGGGAAGCGTGAGTTTTTATACTGAAAATCTTGAGGGACTTGACAATGGCTGACTGATGAGGGTGAGATGAGAGAGAGGAGGATTCAGTGATGACTCTAAGGTTTTGAGTTTACGTAAATGGGAAAATGGCATTGTCCTGAAGAGGAATATGTGAGTCCTATTCAGGAGAACTGATTCAAGAAGAAAGGTGAGTTCAGGTTAGCCAGGCTGACACTTGAACAGTAGGATATCTAGGCAGTTAGAGATACAGATCTGGAGCAAAAAAAGCTTACATTTTTGCATTTGGTCCAGCATCGATCTGCTTTACAAACCCCAAAGATACAGATCTGGAACAAAAAAAGCTTACATTTTTGCATTTGGTCCAGCATCGATCTGCTTTACAAACCCCAAAGATGAGACGTTTACTTCTGCCAGATACTTAGAATTGATAATGTTATAAATCATAAGAGCAAATACATGATAACAATAAAAACAATAGTAATAATAAAGGCTAATATTTGTTGAGAGCTCATTACATACCAGGCACTGTGTTAAGTGTTTTATATGTATAATTGGCATTATTTCATTTAATTCTCATAATAACCATCAGATGCAGGTATTATTATTATCTCCATTTGAGAGACGAGAAAACTAAGGCACAAAAAGAGAAATCAACTTTCCTATGGTAACACTGTAAGTGAGTGGCAGAGCCTGAGCTCAAACCTAGATAATCTAAATATGGACTGTCCAATATGGCAGCCACCAGTCACACAGGGCTATAGAGACTTAAAAGGGAGCTAGTGTGATTGAAGAACTAAATTTAATTTTTAGTAATTAATATTTAAATTATGAAACTGATAGCTGATTCAGTTATTGGAAATCTGAAACTTGAGTAAATGAATCTACATTTCTTTGTAAATTTTATGAAATCTAAATTTAGATCTAGCAAGATTGATGGAAAGTTAGCATCTAAATCAATATATAAAACACAGACAGGATTTCAAAGGCCCAGAATGAGGAAAGGTTTTAAATATTTCATTAATAATTTTATATATTGCTTACAATAATAATTATTGATTATATATTGATTATAATATTTTGAAATTAATTTTATCTGTTTCTTTTTATTTTTTAAATGTGGTACCAGAACATTTTAAAGTACAAGTGTGTTTTGCATAGTATCTCTATTGGCTATTGTAGGTCTAAATACTGAGAAATAAATAAATGAGAGGTCAACTGCATGACAAGACAAATGACATAGTTAAGGGAACACAGGTTATTTCTTTTTCCATTCCAGATGGCTATTTTTGACAACATCTGTAGAGAATACAGAAATTGTCTTAATTCAATGGGACGCTGAGCCCTGGATGTGACTGATTGTTAATCTCCCCACTCTTTTATATTGGTCAACTCTTTCACCATTTTCAGGGAAAACAACAACCCTAACTACCTTTTCTTGGTATGTCTTGTAGTTGTTTACCTTTCAAAGGTGAATTACTTTGCTCACAGCTGTTTTCTATCTTTCATCTCAAGCTGTGTCTTCATGTCAATCTCAATCTAGAACTGATTTATCAAAGAACCCCAAAGGAGGGCTTCCCTGGTGGCGTAGTGGTTGAGAGTCCGCCTGCCGATGCAGGGGACACGGGTTCGTGCCCCGGTCCGGGAAGATCCCACATGATGCAGAGCAGCTAGGCCCGTGAGCCACGGCCGCTGAGCCTGCGCGTCTGGAGCCTGTGCTCCGCAACGGGAGAGGCCACAACAGTGAGGGGCCCGGGTACCATAAAACAAACAAACAAACAAACAAAAAAACAAAAACAAAACCCCAGAGGAGACCCCACCAAGAACTGCTCAGAGCTGTTCTAGGAAAATAGTAGCTAGAAAACTAGGAGTTATTCAATAACAAAGTATAGCCTTGTATGCCTGGATTTTTTTTTTTTAATGGGGGATTATAGTCTGATAGTGAAACCTTGGTGTGTTTGAGAACTATTGATAATAATCCAGACATTTGCTCTTCTGAGAGTTATATGTGTAATAGAAGGTAGAAGAATTTAATTAACGTAAAGAATAGTGCAAGGGCTAGGGACTTGTGAATCTTTGGGTATGACAAAAATTAAGGCAATGTCATTTATCAAGAGAAGAAATGTAAAATTCTACCAATTTTCAGGATTCAGTGTATCTGAAGCAATATGTCCCCCAAATTGGAATTATCCAGATGTTTTAAATTGGTCAGAGTAAACATGTGATTCATCCCAGAATGACCAAAGTCAGACGTCGGAAATTCACATCTACTTGCTAGCTAAGGGGAGTAGTATTTTTTCCACTCTCTATGCCAGCTCCCTTGACATACTTAGAATCTACCCACAGAATACTTCAGGTCAGTGAATTCGTAGCCAAATGCCATTATAAGAATGTGCGTGTTTCCTGGCCTTTATTCAATTAAGCACTCTGTTCTTAACTTACTACTAAATCCTCCTTTGGTTTTTAGGTTTCATAAAAACTTTCATGCAGGTTAGAGAATGTTCTTGGTGTAGAAAATGTAGCCCATGTCTTCCCACCCCATAGGATAAAATTATAAAATGATACTTCCACATTTATATGATATCTGTATGAAATAATTTCAACCTCCAAGATATATTCCAATTTTTGAGACTATTGTATATGAAGCCTCAGTGCAAAAGATAAACTGATCTACTTCACTCCTTTTAATTTTTAATTATTATTTTCAAGTATTGACTATGCATTGTTTATAACAATTCTCTATAAGGAGATCACAAGCAATAAATTCTCTATAAATGTTTACTTACAAGTTATATATGATATATATCATATTAAAAGTATGTATGAAATACTAAAGTGCCATAAACTATAGGTTATAGCAATAAGGTCCTCATACTATAAGGCACATGAAAAGTAACTTCTCTGGCCAAGAGAAAAGAGGGCTTTGGGAAACAGATAAACAAATCCGTTAGAGAGGACATTAAATGCATTTGAAACAGCCTCAATAAAACACCCAAGCTCCTGGGAAAGGACTGTATCTAACTACTGATAAAAGTGCTTTCAGAACTACTAAAAGGGAGTAAGACAAATACCCACATCTGGCCAAACAAGACAAACGTGTGCCTACTGAATTTCCAGTAAGAAATGTTTGCTTAAAAGGAAAAGTCTATTTTAACATTGTTTTTCACAAGCAACACAATAGAAAAGGATAGAACACAGTCTCATAGCTAATTCTCACTGTGCAGCTATGAACATACTTCTCTCCAGTGACTGGGTCACAGTATGTTATTTTTTGTTGGTTGCTTCTCTGCTGTCCTCTATAATTCCAAAATTATGTAGTTCTATCCGTAGTCAACACATCCCTAAACATTAGGCCATTTTTGGTTGATTTCTGGCAATTGTGCTGCTTCAACATTCTCATTTAATATTTATTTCTGAGAAAATAATAGTAGTAGAACAGATCAGTACTGGATCATCTTGTTAATATTTACTTTGTGAAAGCCTTTGTTGGTTACAAAAAGATTCAGGATTCACTATGACAATTTGATTTGAAATTCATGGTCAGTTTAAAAATAAACGCCATTTTACAAAGCCTTACAATCTTACAGTTCAGCCAACATCTGAGTGACCTCAGCAATAAAATATTTAGGGACAAAGTCTGATGTATTTTGGATGTTTCTGAAAATTATTTATCTTCTATTCAAGATGCATTCAGAGGTCTGCACCATATATTGCAGGGTGAAAGTCAGGTTCTGAATTGGAAACGAATAAACAAAAAAGTGATTGACTCTGACAAAAAATTAAGCTTTGCTAAATTTAAGTCTAACTCCAAATGTAGATGTTCCCCAAAGACCTTCGCTTGGCCCTCTTCAGTTTTCCTATCTCCAACGCTGACTTCTTTTCACTCTTTCTTTGATATTTGTTTGCTCTTCTCCATCTACTTGTCCCCACAAATTCTCAAAATCAGTTTATTCATCAATAAGTCATTATTTTTACTCTCAAACCTGATGCTCCTCTTTTTTTTTTTTTTGTGGTGCGCGGGCCTCCCACCGCCGCGGCCTCCCCCGTTGTGGAGCACAGGCTCCGGGCGCGCAGGCTCAGCGGCCATGGCTCACAGGCCCAGCCGCTCCGCGGCATGCGGGATCTTCCTGGACCGGGGCACGAACCCGCGCCCCCTACATCGGCAGGCGGACCCCCAACCACTGCACCACCAGGGAAGCCCGATGCTCCTCTTCTTAGTCCCTATTTCTGTTAACTGTACAATTCTTTTTGCCAGAAATTCAGGAATAGTTGTGATGTCCAGGTATCACCACGGAAACGGCATCCTCTTTTTCTTTCTCACAAAAATTTTCAAGTCTTGCTGATGCTTCCTCCATGTCTCCCTCCTATCAATTTATTACTACATGTACCACTTCATGTCAGGCCCTAATTATATGCTCTCTTTAAAAGAGACAACCTTACTTTTCCTCATAAATTTTTATACAGTCATTGTACAAAATGTAAAATATACAAAAAGAATAACATAAATTAATACTCTGATCCATCATCTTGTATGGAGTATTATTACTACCTCTAGAGTAGATTACTGCTATAATCCTCCCCACCGGTCTCCTTACTCTATCTTCTGCTGCTCCAAACTATGTCTTCAATGGTGACATTTGATTCTTCATTAAGCAGAGGCTAAGATTATAGAATTCCCCTGCTCAAAATCTTCAATAGCTCACCTTAGCTTAGAAAAAATTCCTTAGCTTGGTTTTCATGACCCTAAAAATACAGTCTCACTCATTCCAATATTATTTCCCATGATTGCTTCTCAAGTTCATTAAGTTTTGGCCACACTTACTTTTTTCCCTATAAATGTTCACTTACCTTCCCATAACCATACCTTTGCCAGATTCTCAACTCCACAAAACTAAGTGCAAACTTCAAGACCAAATGTCATTTTGCCCATGAAGCATGCTATGGCATCCCTAGTTGGAAGTAAACTCTGCCTTCTCAGAGCTGCCAAAGTGTTTTGCTTCTGCTTCTCCTAGGGGTACACAGTACAAAATGTAGAGACAGATGACTGGGACTTGAGTACAAATTCTACCATTTAAGTAACTCTCTGGCTGTGAGCAAGACCCTTGAACCCTCAGTTTTCTTATCAGTTGATGTGAGAACCAAAGGTGATGATATATGGAAATCTACTTTGTAAACTACAAAGTGCTATATATTGGGAGTTCATTCTCTGCCAGGTGTTCCCTTTTAGGCACTGCCTTTAAAGAGAATGGTTCATCCTCTTTCATGACTTAATTTGTAAGACCTTCCCTGAACAGGTGGTGGTGTTTGGCCCTATGTGTCCCTAGAGGATCATTAAAGTCTTTATGTGGTTATAATTCAATTTTTTAATTTAATTTTTTGCCAGAGCAGGTAGACTGCGATCTTTTTGAAGGCTGGAAATTTGTCTTACCCAGTTGTACAATCATAGTGGAAAGCTCTGAACTCAATTCCTGTTCAGTAAATGTTCATTGAATGAGTGAATACATGAGTGAACGAATAAATAAATAAATGAATTTACTGATATCTGGATCTTGTGAATCAGTTATTTATGTTTAGTACTTGTGTTCTCTCATTAGACTATAAGCTCCATGAGTAGAGGTTCGTTGGGTGATCCATCTTTGTATCCATATAGTTCCATATGCATGATATAGAACGAATACTTACAGAAAGTTGAATAGAAAAATGTAGCTCAGCTGGATCATGAGTTGAAATGCTCCTTCATATAGAACTTTCCTGTGTGACAGTTTTTTTTTTCCTGGTGTGCATGCAATCTTAATATCTGTTTAACTCTGCAAATGAGGCTAATTATATTTACTATCAACACTGGAGTTCCTTCTCAAATCGAATATAAGAATGTCTATAAACATAGATACATCTTTTGATGGTACAGTAATACAAACTTCAGTGGGGGGAGATCTTACTTAGGTTACGTTCTAACATCAGCCCTTGGGGCGAAAATTAGTCTAGTCAATATCATGGAGAATGGAGAATCCATTCCATATCTCCATATCATGGAGAATCCCCTAAATCACCCAAATGTTAAGTCAAGATGTTCATGCTGTGGCAGGCCCAGGGGAACTGAGATGGGGAGAGAGCAAAAGACTCACATCTCCTACCTCACACTTACTAGTGGGCATAGATCCACTCAATGTGGTAGCAGGTGGAGAAAGCGGAATTGCCTATTTAAATTGCTATTTCTCTCTCCTTTATCTCTCCTGCTTGGCTTAGTATGTATATTTGAATTTGCATTATTAAGTGTTAGGACAGTGCACTTCTACTGAATTGCTCTTTTACAGTATCTCCTTAGTCACAGCACAGGAAATTTTTTTCAATAGCCTGTAAAGATGAATGGATCTTTATAAACATCATTAGGTCCTGAGTAACTTAACCCCAATCATCCCTGTAATACCTTACTTCCAAGTCTGACATGGAGAGCCTAGTGTGGTATGTTAAAAATTGCTAGTGATGTAAAGGCTAACTTTCATTTTCTAACTCTGCTTTGAGGTGATTCTGAACACATACTGAAGTCAGAGACAATGGCAACCCCAGGGCTGGAATGTTCTGGTTTCACAGGGTTTATCATGCTGGATTTCTGACATGTATC